AAAATCCTTGACATGGTTAATATTCTTTTAATGACTATAGCACTGTCTCCCAGATAGGAAAAATTATAAGATGTTTCTGTAAATACCCTCAGTGTCTGTAGGATGACAGTTTTCTATGTAGCATCCAAAGATTCCATTTACATTTCAATCCATGGAAAGATGAAATCCCAGCTTTCATCCAGAGGGAAGAGTAATTAAAGAATTCTACACCCATATATTTCCTAATTTTCCTAAAGTAAATAGTAGGGCTTTGTGAGGGAGAGTTCTTTATAAAACAGTGTTCTTAAAATATGTGGACATTTTAATAATAATAGAGCTCCCAGCTGAGCTACCCTAAGCTGGATCAGGAGTGAAGTCCCAGTTGTATTTGAATATAATTTGATTTTTTACAGAGAGGAAGGGAGAGGGATAGAGAGTTAGAAACATCGATGAGAGAGCAACATCGATCAGCTGCCTCCTGCACACCCCATACTGGGGATGTGCCCGCAACCAAGGTACATGCCCCTGACCGGAATCGGACCTGGGACCTTTCAGTCCGCAGGCCGAGGCTCTATCCACTGAGCAAAACCGGCTACAGCCCCAGTTGTATTTGAGTTGTATGTTAGCTGTCAACAGTCAAGCACACGCATTCCTTAGGTTATTTGCTAGCAAATGGTCATCGGTCCTCAAATCACATTTAAGGAAATGGGAAGTGATCAAAATAACATGGTTTAGTCTCAAAGGATGAGACCTCCTTCCCTTGTTTTTATCCCCATCCACAGCCCAGTCTTTAAGACTACATCAATTATCCTTTCTCTTTTTCCTCTACTGGCTGTTGGTCTTGGCTCAAGTCTCTCTCCCATCCTTGACTAGGTCTGTTTCTTAATTCCTTTGTTTCTTCTCCCTAACATGAAAGTGTAACAACCCACTGTAATCTGCCTTTTTTTAAAAATATACATTTTTATTGATTTCAGAGAGAAAGGAAGAGAGAGAGAAACATCAATGATGAGAGAATCATTGACTGGCTGCCTCTTGCACATCCCCCACTGGGGATCGAGCACACAACCCGGGCATGTGCCCTTGACCAGAATCGAACTTGAGACCCTTCAGTCTGTAGGCCAATGCTCTATCCACTGACCCAAACCAGCTAGGGCTGTAATCTGCCTTTCAGTCCTTATATGATTGACTCTCCCCACCAAAATATTGACAGCATTCATCTTGCCTTTCTTCAGAGCCCTATTTCCTTGGCTTCCCTGACATTCTTTGTTATTCCCTCCTCCCTCTTGATTCTTCTATGAGCTCCTCCCCACCCTGTACTTTAAGTGACCATACTTTCCATGCCTCTGTCCTCAACACACTGGTCTTTATAATTTTCCATCACCATTTATCCCCTCTGTGCCCTCTTCCACCTCCTTCCCCACCCCCAACACACTGGTCTTTTAATTCTACACTCCAAGGGCGTGTCCCCTGTTCTCATGAATGTGACTACACCTCTGTGCTTTCACCTTTGTAATCCTAGTCCTGTGGTCGGCAAACCGCGGCTCGCGAGCCACATGCGGCTCTTTGGCCCCTTGAGTGTGGCTCTTCCACAAAATACCACATGCAGGCGCGCATGTACAATGCGATTGAAACTTCATGGCCCATGCGCAGAAGTCGGTTTTTTGTGGAAGAGCCACTCAAGGGGCCAAAGAGCCGCATGTGGCTCACAAGCTGAGGTTTGCCAAACACTGTACCACTCCCATAGGTTCCCACTTACACCCAGCTGCGTAATGAATGTATCAGCTGAATTAGTCCATGTAAAAGCAAACTCAGCTTATCTATAAGTAAATTCTTTCTGTCCACGTTAATGTTTAATAAGCCCTCAGGTAAATCGGGTTATGGCTGACTTACTATAATTTATACTGTTACCCATTGTTAAATTTTATTGTCATATAACATGATCTTGCTCATCTTCTACTCTTTCCAGGCCAGTACAGATGACGGCTTTGTATATAATTTGGATGCACGTTCAGATAAGCCAATTTTTACACTTAATGCACACAATGATGAAATCTCTGGTGAGCAAAACTAGTATTTCATTTCTCTTAAATTAGGATGAAGTAAATGTGTATCTCAAAGTCATTGGAGTCTGTGAACTAATCTTCCTTTAGGTCTTGATCTCAGCAGTCAAATCAAGGGTTGCCTTGTGACTGCATCAGCAGACAAGTATGTGAAGATCTGGGACGTATTAGGAGATAGGCCAAGTCTGGTTCACTCCAGGGACATGAAAATGGTAAGGCTGTTTTCTGTCTCTGATCTCTATTGTATGTCATTCTCCAGGAGCCATTGCATTAAATACGGATTTATTGGGGAAGTTCATTTTGAGCTTAGCCAAATTTGGTGAGATTTATGATGTAGGATAGTTTAAGGTGAAATCAATGACTATTTTTTACCCTAAAATCACATTTTACCTTAAATCAATACTGTCCCCGGAAATCTTGAACCTTTATGGCACCATAGTGATCAGTTTATCACTTCTTTGCATAACTAGTTCTGACTACACTAATAAAATTGATTATGTAGTGGCAAAAAAATTAGAAATAATGAATTCATTCATTCAGCAAATATTTATTGCATACTTACTGTGTGCCAGGCACTGAGTTATATAAATTAAGTTGCAGACACAGAACACTGTAACTGTTTAAAAGTGAATATATGTGTGTGTAAATATTTGTGGAAAGGCAGGTAACAGAAGCAATTTTTATAGTGCCATCCATGCTTATATTTAAATGTTTTAAGTGCTTGAATGAGTATTTTTAAATCTAGAAGACCCTATCCCAAAACATGAACAGTGATTATCTTACCAAGTGGTTTTTATACTTTTTGTTGTTTTCTATGATACACGTGTTATCAGTAACAAATGAAAACATTAAAAAAATTTGAAGATGATTTAGTAGTGACCTCTGGTATCACCATCATTCCTTAAAAAAGAATTAAAAGTGCTTAGCAGATTAGCTTTAATAGGAAATCCGTAATAGACAGAATGATAATGGAGGTAAGAGACCTGAGTGGTCATCCCAAGCATACACACATCCTCACAGAAGGTCCATAATGCAGAACTTGTCTGGCTTCCTATTATAATTTCTTTCCAACTTGACTGAACTACATTTGAAATCAATTATTCTCTTCTCCCCAGGGAGTTCTCTTCTGTTCTGCCTGTTGCCCTGATTTGCCATTTATTTATGCCTTTGGAGGTCAGAAAGAAGGGCTTCGGGTCTGGGATATAAGCACAGTGTCTTCGGGTAAGAATCTTAATTTCCTGCCTTTTCTGAATGAGTTCTGTAAATAAGCAGCAAAGGTAGACCCTGTGGTCATCCTGTAGTATAGTCTGCTTAGGAATAGGGTTAAATGTAATTTAGAAATGTTTATGTTCACAAATAATTTTGTCTTTAGACTTTAAAATGTAGGCCATTTAAAAATATCTATTATCTTTATATGCCAAAACTTGAATTTTAAATTTGAAAGATCTCAATGGGAAAACTGGAAGGAAATGTAGCATGGCCTCAAAGAATGACCCTCCCAGGATGAATAAATCTGCTCAAAGGGCCCCTCCCTTCCTGAAGCTACCTTAGAGTAGAAAAACTTACTGCTCATATTTTTCTCTTTTTATATTAAGAGTATTTTAGTTTTCTGATCTGGTAATTGCTTAACTCTTTGTGTTCTAGTAAATGAAGCATTTGGAAGACGAGAGAGGCTTGCTCTTGGTAATACAAGAAATTCATCAATTAATGGCCCTTTTGGAAGCAGGAGCTCAGACACACCAATGGAGTCTTAATGAGGATCATGCAATTTCCTGTTTTGTTTACCTTAACTCAATTTTAAAAGCTGGCCTAAAATGTACCATGTGTAGTGACAGAATCAAAATTGATTTCCAACTACCTGACATTCCTCTAGTGGTAGCTAAACAAGGCTGCTCAGAGTGCTTGCCGTCCCAGTCTGCAGTGTATAAAGCTCCCGTTGCAGATCTCCTTGGAAAGGGTAATAAAAAAGGTTTTAAAAAAATGATTCCTTAAATATGCCATCTGTCACAGGTAATCTAAGTTTGTAACGTAGCTAGTAATTTACAGGATTTTGCTCTTTTTAAAAATTATATGATCTTAATAGATGGGTAAACCCAGGTCAGGAAGAGTTGTGGTTTGGCCGACATTGCACAGTAGGCCACAAACAGAGGAGTGCAGTTTCCAAACTGACTGTTCTGCAGTTAATGCTCATGACTTAGAAGTGTAGAAGTGTTCTCAAAGAAGAAAGACATCATATAATGATAAAGGTTCAATCCAGCAAGAGGATATAACATTCATAAATTTTATGCACCCCAACATAGGACTGGATAAATACAGTAATAGTAGGGGCCTTTAATATTCTACTTTCACCAATGGCTAGATACTTCAGACAGAAAAATCAATAAACAGTGTCCTTAAACAACTTGTTAGACCAAGAAGACGTGACATTACAGAACATTCCATCCAAGAAACAATATAGATTCTTCTCAAACAAGGAAAAATTCTACAGGACAGATCGTTACATCACAAAATGTGTCTCAATAAATTTTTACTTTAGCTTTTCCCTTCCAGTAATCACTGTTGCCTATGAGGGTTTTTTTTTTTAATACCTTCTCCTTTTTCACCCAGCCCCCCAGCTATCTCCCCTCTAACAGCTGTCACTCTGATATGAATATCAAACATCTTCTCCAACCACAATAGCATGAAACTAGAAACCAATTACAAGAAAACTGGAAAATGCACAACAATACAGAGATTAAACAAAAAATTTGAAGATGATTTAGTAGTGACCTCTGGTATCACCATCATTCCTTAAAAAAGAATTAAAAGTGCTTAGCAGATTAGCTTTAATAGGAAATCCCTAATAAAATGATAATGGAGGTAAGAGACCTGAGTGGTCATCCCAAGCATACACACATCCTCACAGAAGGTCCATAATGCAGAACTTGTCTGGCTTCCTATTATAATTTCTTTCCAACTTGACTGAACTACATTTGAAATCAATTATTCTCTTCTCCCCAGGGAGTTCTCTTCTGTTCTGCCTGTTGCCCTGATTTGCCATTTATTTATGCCTTTGGAGGTCAGAAAGAAGGGCTTCGGGTCTGGGATATAAGCACAGTGTCTTCGGGTAAGAATCTTAATTTCCTGCCTTTTCTGAATAAGTTCTGTAAATAAGCAGCAAAGGTAGACCCTGTGGTCATCCTGTAGTATAGTCTGCTTAGGAATAGGGTTAAATGTAATTTAGAAATGTTTATGTTCACAAATAATTTTGTCTTTAGACTTTAAAATGTAGGCCATTTAAAAATATCTATTATCTTTATATGCCAAAACTTGAATTTTAAATTTGAAAGATCTCAATGGGAAAACTGGAAGGAAATGTAGCATGGCCTCAAAGAATGACCCTCCCAGGATGAATAAATCTGCTCAAAGGGCCCCTCCCTTCCTGAAGCTACCTTAGAGTAGAAAAACTTACTGCTCATATTTTTCTCTTTTTATATTAAGAGTATTTTAGTTTTCTGATCTGGTAATTGCTTAACTCTTTGTGTTCTAGTAAATGAAGCATTTGGAAGACGAGAGAGGCTTGCTCTTGGTAATACAAGAAATTCATCAATTAATGGCCCTTTTGGAAGCAGGAGCTCAGACACACCAATGGAGTCTTAATGAGGATCATGCAATTTCCTGTTTTGTTTACCTTAACTCAATTTTAAAAGCTGGCCTAAAATGTACCATGTGTAGTGACAGAATCAAAATTGATTTCCAACTACCTGACATTCCTCTAGTGGTAGCTAAACAAGGCTGCTCAGAGTGCTTGCCGTTCCAGTCTGCAGTGTATAAAGCTCCCGTTGCAGATCTCCTTGGAAAGGGTAATAAAGGTTTTAAAAAAATGATTCCTTAAATATGCCATCTGTCACAGGTAATCTAAGTTTGTAACGTAGCTAGTAATTTACAGGATTTTGCTCTTTTTAAAAATTATATGATCTTAATAGATGGGTAAACCCAGGTCAGGAAGAGTTGTGGTTTGGCCGACATTGCACAGTAGGCCACAAACAGAGGAGTGCAGTTTCCAAACTGACTGTTCTGCAGTTAATGCTCATGACTTAGAAGTGTAGAAGTGTTCTCAAAGAAGAGAGACATCATATGATAAAGGTTCAATCCAGCAAGAGGATATAACATTCATAAATTTTATGCACCCCAACATAGGACTGGATAAATACAGTAATAGTAGGGGCCTTTAATATTCTACTTTCACCAATGGCTAGATACTTCAGACAGAAAAATCAATAAACAGTGTCCTTAAACAACTTGTTAGACCAAGAAGACGTGACATTACAGAACATTCCATCCAAGAAACAATATAGATTCTTCTCAAACAAGGAAAAATTCTACAGGACAGATCGTTACATCACAAAATGTGTCTCAATAAATTTTTACTTTAGTTTTTCCCTTCCAGTAATAACTGTTGCCTATGAGGGTTTTTTTTTTTTTTAATACCTTCTCCTTTTTCACCCAGCCCCCCAGCTATCTCCCCTCTAACAGCTGTCACTCTGATATGAATATCAAACATCTTCTCCAACCACAATAGCATGAAACTAGAAACCAATTACAAGAAAACTGGAAAATTCACAACGATACGGAGATTAAACAACATGTACCAAACAACCAATGGATCAAGGAAGAAAAAAAAAATAGAGACTATAAAGACCAATGAAACCAAGAGCTGGGTTTTTAAAAAGATAAAATTGACCAATCTTTAGACCCAGAAGTCTCAAAAATAGGAAAGTGATGCCACAGAAATACAAAAGAGCATAAAAGACTATTATGAACAAATTATATCCCAACAAGTTGGACAACCTAGAAGAAAGAAAATTTCATAGACTGATTACTACTAGAGAGATTGAATCAGGAATAAAAAAATCTCCCAACAAAAGTGCAGGACCATATGTCTTCACTGGTTAATTCTACCAAACATTTAAATAAGAACCAATACCAATCCTCAAACTCTTCTGAAAAAATAGAGGAGGGGATACTTTCACACTCATTTTATGAGGCCAGCATTATTACCCCAAATTGTAGCAAAGTCAGAAAAAGACACAAGAAAATTACAGGCCAATATACTGGATGAACATAAATGTATAAATCCTCAATGAAATATTAGCAAATCAAAAATACATTAAAGGGATCATAAACTATGATCAACTGAGATTTATTCCAGGGATGCAAGGATGGTTCAACATCTGTTAAGTCAAAGTGATAACATCACATTAACAAAATGAAGGATAAAAATTGGACTATTTCAGCCCTAACCGGTTTGCTCAGTGGATAGAGCGTCGGCCTGCAGAATGAAAGGTCCCAGGTTCGATTCCGGTCAAGGGCATGTACCTTGGTTGCGGACACGTCCCTGGTGTGGGGTGTGCAGGAGGCAGCTGATCGATGTTTCTCTCTCATCGATGTTTCTAACTCTCTATCCCTTTCCCTTCCTCTCTGTAAAAAATCAATAAAATATATTTTTTTTGTGCAGGAGGCTGCTGATCGATGTTTCTCTCTCATCGATGTTTCTAACTCTCTATCCCTTTCCCTTCCTCTCTGTAAAAAATCAATAAAATATATTAAAAAAAAAAAACAAATGGAAAGAAATCACATACTCATGGATTGGAAGAATTACTATTGTTAAAATGTCACACTTAATTCGTCTCACTAGCAGTAGCTAGAATCTCTCTGCCTTGAAACCTAGCCAGGGTAAGGTAACTAATTGAGATAACTCGATCAAATGACAGAATCTCCTCAAGCTAAAGGCTTGAAATGGAGTCCAGGCTGTAGGAATGACTCCCAATCCTATACCACAGAAGTAAGCTTGCAATGTACAGCTGCTGCTGCCGCTGCTATGATCAGGAAGCTACCTGCCGCATCAGAAAACACGAGCCACAGCCATCAGCTCCAAAATGACATCACCCTTGGTGAGATCCAAGCCTGCATAATAAATAGAAGCCCCAGGCCCTGTTTGTCTCCCCACATAACTCATTTCTGAATCAAACTCTCACCCAGGGACACCAGATCAGAGGAACGTTGGTTTTGTTTGGAATCTTAGCTCTAAAGGAGCCTGAGAAGTGGTTTTTAACTTTCCAGACTCTACAGCACAGGAAAGCATGATTAAAAGGGATTGGCAATCTCGAGTAGCTTCTTTGTATAACTCCTGTTAATATATACGTATAGACAACATGACTAGACAACAGGCTTTTTCACTTCACAAGATGTCTTAGAGATATTTCCATGTAACATAAATTACCTTGTCCTTTTTGACAGCATTGTATTATTTAATATAGATGTGCCATAATTCACCATTTTCTTCTGGAGGATACAGGTTTTTTCCATCTTCAGTGTTAAAATCACATCCTTACCACACCTGCAAGAAAGGAGTAACACCCCCCCCCTTTTTTTTTTAAATATGTGTATGCTTCTGGACTTCAAATTAGATTCCCTGGTCACAAGCCATTGTTTTTCTTTATGTGTGTCCCTACCCCACCCCCTTAAAATCGAACGTCTTTTTCCAAAGACAATATATGCTCAATGAATGGATCATCCTGCTTTTCCCTTGCCACGAAACACTATTTGCATTTTGGGAATTTCAGATGCTAAGGAGCCTGGTACACTCTCTTTCAGTTACTGCATTATCTGGTTCAGGCATCTTGAAAAAGTCCCTAACAGAATATTATGTCATCTCACACTTTTGAATAATTCTTTTTTCATAGACAAGTGCCAGTTGTCCAATTAAAAACAAGGGCCCCCACAAAAGGGTTTTCTGCTTATAAAAGTGCATTTCACAACCTCAGTGCAAATGTGCAACTACTATGGGTAGCAGTGTGGTGCACCTGAAATGAGGTGTCAGAATAGCAGCATGTAGATTAGCATGGAAGAGAACGCTGGAGGAGAAATACATACATTTTAACAAGTACTCCAAGGCAGCAAATCACTGAACACGAAAGGGAGGAAATCTCAAATTTTTGAACCTAATTTCAACATCTATAAAAAGAGGGTAAAACTGAACACGAAAGGGAGGAAATCTCAAATTTTTGAACTTAATTTCAACATCTATAAAAAGTGGGTAAAACCTACTATTATAGACTTGGTAGGTCTAAATAAATGTTAAACTAAAATACATTAGTGCTGTTACAGATAAAAATGTCACACATGCCCTTAGCTAACAAGGCTTAGACCAAGGGTGGGCAAACTTTTTGACTCGAGGGCCACAATGGGTTCTTAAACTGGACCGGAGGGCCAGAACAAAAGCATGGATGGAGTGTTTGTGTGAACTAATATAAATTCAAAGTAAACATCATTACATAAAAGGGTACGATCTTTTTTTTTTTTTGGTTTTAGTTGTTTTTTTTTTAGTTTGCCCACGGCTGGCTTAGACCATGTTAGCTAAGAAGGGCAGGAAGTTTTCTATTAACCAATGGTAGATCATTCAAGAAGCAAACTTGCCCTGGCTGGTTTGGTTCAGTGGATAGAACGTCAGCCTGCAGACTAAAGGGTCCCAGGTTCAATTTCGATCAAAGGCACATGCCCAGGTTGCTCTTGGTGAGCCCAGGGTTTGGGGTGCAAATAATAAGAGGTCACCAGAGTTCTTGCCCTCAGAATGGAGCCAAAGACAGAACAGAACAGAATTGACTTCACAGGGAAGAGGGGTAGCTGGAAACACCGAACTCCATGTTTCCCCAAAGCCCATGGCACCCCAAGGAAAGGCATCGTGGGCAGGGGGCCAGGCTGGGATGTCCCAGCGGCTGTGGTAAAGGCCTCGGACTTCATCCTACCAGCAGTGGACGCTCTCCCGGTGCGGACACCTGGATGAACTCCTGACTCTACTGACCCTCCACTTCCTGGTCGGTTGTATCCGATGCTCTCTGGGTCAGTGGCTGCCAGCGTCTGGTGGTGGTGACGTCACCTGACAGCGTGCTGCTCTCACAGCTGTACCAGAGGAACATGCAATATTCCTGATCTGTTGCTAGTTGTCCCAAACTCTCACCAGAACTAATGGTGGGAGAGGAGTAACTTCTTGTCTGGAACGCCCAGCAAACAGCTTATGGCTCTATCCAGGCAGGGCCAGGCCCGGGAAGGGAAATGGTCCAGTGGTTGGAGGGGGAGGGCTGGGAGCAGCCCACAGTTGTCTGCCGCCTTCTTTCCCCCCCCTCCCCCGCTCCATCCTTGACTGAGACAAAGGCAGCTCCTCCACAGCAGTGCTTTGTGCTCACACCACAGCAAAGGGCTCCTTGTATCCGCCACCCTGTTGCCCAGGAGCCATTTACTGACGGGCGTGTGCACTGAGCACCTTGTGCACATAGTCCAGCCCTGCACGAGGTGCAACAAGAGGGAACAAGACTCATCCCCAAGCCTCGAAATGTTTCCAGTCTAGTGGCCATCATCGCACGCGGTGACAAGGGCCAGGAGGGGGTTCTTAGGCCAGTGCAGTGACTGGAGCCAGAAGGAATGTTGGCCTGCAGTGAGGATGGAGAAAAGCGGGCAGGTCACCAGGCAAGATGGGCATGACCTGACTGGCTCTGGATGGGGTTGGAGGCGGGCGTTGAGTCTGAGGAGGAACCCAGAGGACCTCCAGGAGACTGCTGGCAAGGATGGAGGATGGTCTCACCACAGGACCCAGCGTGGCAGCAGTAAGAGTGGAGGGAAGCCCTGGCTGGTTTGGCTCAGTGGATAGAGCGTCGGCCTGAAGACTAAAGGGTCCCAGGTTCGATTCCAGTCAAGGGCATGTACCTTGGTTGCGGGCACATCCCCAGTAGGGGGGTGTGCAGGAAGCAGCTGATCAATGTTTCTAACTATCCCTCTCCCTTCCTCTGTAAAAAATCAATAAAATATTAAAAAGAATCTCAAATTATATTTATACTAGAGGCCTGGTGCATGAAAATTCGTGCATGGGGGGGTGGGGTGTCTCTCAGCCCAGCCTGCCCTCTCACAGTCCGGGAGCCCTCGGGGGATGTCCTACTGACGGCTTAAGCCCGCTCCCCATTGGATAAAGGCAGCTCCTCCACAGCAGTGCTCTGTGCTCACACCACACCAAATCCCATCACCCCGCTGCTGCTGCCACTACTGGCTGCAGCAGCTGCGAGACCTGAGCCCCGCCCTCGCAGCGGCTGGGGCTCACGGTTGCCTGAGCCCATGGCCTTTGTGATCCCACAGCTGCCATGAGCCCTGGGCCTCACAGCCGCTGTGGCTGTCTGGATGGACTTCCAGATGGACACCCGGAAGACATCTGCCCTAATTAGCATATTACCCTTCTATTAATACAGATTTTAAAAAGGTAAATATCAAAAAAAAGAGTGAAGACAGCCCTGCCATTTTTTGCTCAGTGGTTAGAGCATCAGCCCACGGACCAAAGGGTCAAGGGTTTGATTCTGTTGCAGGTTCACTCTCTCTCTCTCTCTCTCTCTCCTCTCCCTCTCCCTCTCTTTCTCTGAAATCAATAAAATAAAAAAAATAATAAAAGTAAACTTTCCCAAAGCCAGTATCTTTCTCTTTAAGTGATTTTTGCTCAATTCTGGCCATAATGGAGCTTGATTTTAATCCTATCCCAAAGCTCATCTCCAGCCTGTGCCTCAGAAAATCTGTAGCAGCACAAAAGGTGTGTGTTGGGGGGAGGAGGGGGGGTAGGTACAGCAGAGCAGAAAACAAAGACCAAGGCATGCTTTCCATGAGCTCCCTAGACCACGTATATAAATAAATATGTTGTCTAAAGGGAATAGATTTTCTGTGTGATCTTTAAAAGACTTGTAGCCCTGGTGAGATCCCAATTTTAGCCAAGCCACTTTTAAAGAATCAATAAAGCTTGGTGGGGTAGGCACAGGCTGCCATTCCTAGCTGTGCAACTGAGTGCCAATTACAGAATTGTCTCACAATTCCAGAGGCCAGAGAACCGAGAAGATCAAAGTGTCAGCAGAGCAGAGCTGTTTCTTCCGAGCCATCTCTTCTCGGCTTGTCGATAGCAATCTTCTCCGTGTCTTCACCTGGTCTCCCCTCTGTGCTTGTCTGCAAACTTCCTTAGTAGGACACCAGTTATTGGATTAAGGCATGTCCTAAGAAACTCATCTCTACCTTAATCACTTCTCTGAAGACCTTATCTACAAATATGGTCACGTTCTCAGGAACTGGGGGTTGAACTTCAAAATATGAAGGGGGAGAGGGACCATCTAACCCATAACAGGCAGTAACCACTTGTATACCTGAAGATATGTCATTTTTGAGTGACTAAGATGTAGCTGGGTGATCAGATACTGTAAGTTGACACTGATGATGGGCTGACAGTTAAACGTGTTAACGAGGAAGTGTGTGAACAAGTCAACAGGTTGGAACGGCTGAAGGAGACTAGTTCCTGCCACCCCTTTGCCCTCTGATGTGTCGAGGACCTCAGCTCAGCACACCTACAAGGTTATCAGCAGCTCCCCTTCAAGGAAGGAAGCAACGCACACACGCACTGACCTACAAGAACAGCAAACTAGTTTCTAGGCTTTGGCCTTGAAAACTCAAATTATGCTCAGTTTAACTTTGTATGAATAAAATCTAGGGCTTCTTGGGCCATCTATAGCCATGTATTTTAGGATAGAAACCTGTGCTAACCTAAAACTGGACTAATGTTTACTGTACATCAACACTGTGAAGGCCCTTTACGCATGTTAACTAACTTAACATCAAACAGTATTATCAAACGGGAAACCTTATTCTCTACTTGCAATAAACAGAGGCATGGAGAGGTCACATAACTTGGCTAAGGTTACAGACCATCATGCAGCCAAGCCCAGGTTGGAGAATGTTCAGTCAGCTCTAGCGCTCTCATATCCTGCTTCTCGACATGACCATGTCCCCGACACAGCAGCAGAGGCGGCCACCTGCAACAGGCGGAGAAGCCTCAGAGCAAAATCTTGTCAAAGGCCAGTTACTAATGTATTCATCTCATGAGAAGAACTTTGAATGTACATTTTAAGTCTAAGAGGTAAAAAATGAAAGACGACGGTAAATAAGCAGTAAAAGTTACGTTCTCACTTAAAACTGTTTCCCTCTATTGTTTTTGTTTGTTTTTACATTAGGCTTAACCATCTTGGGCAGCATTTCAACCAGCATTAGGCAGTGAAGGAATTTAACCAGCATGAGCTACTGAGATAAAGGGAGAAAGGAAGCTTATAGTTCCAGCACCCATGGTTTCCTGGGAACACGGGTGGCCTGCCTTTGGCAAAAGGCTGAACTTGGAGCTGCTCCAGTTGCACTAGAGTTGACCTGCCCTGATGGAGGCACCCCTACATACCAACACCTCACCCTCCTCCCTCACTGTAGATTAACCACAGCTCTGCAAGGAGGCAGCAGAGTAAAGGCACTACGTTAGGGAGCAGCTGGATACAAGCTGGAAACACAGGCAGCAGTTTAAGCAGTTATGCAGACACACATTTCAACACGATCCCTAAGCCACCGTACTTACGAAATCCTCTCTCCATTTCTAACCTTTAAAAAACTCAAGTTATACCTGATTTTCTCCCAAAGGCTCATTCTTCTTCTTCCCCAAAATGAGGTAAGAAAATCCTGTATTTTTTAAAAAGTTTTTATTTTAATCCTTACTAGAGGAATACAGATTTGAATGCAATACATTCATTCTATAAATACATTAGCAGCAAAACCTTCCCACCAGAGTCCTTGCTACTCCAACCCAGAGGATGTGCCTCAGTGCAGGAGAGCGTGTTCTATCAACCGTCAACTTAAGGATGTCTGCTTTTTGCTGAAAGCATGTGAAACCAGGGGAAAGACCAGACGATGGAAGAACTAAGCCGGGACCCTGAAAACACACCCACATGGGTGTGTTTCTGCCTTCCAAATCCTTTGGTATTCACCGTGTTTAACCAGTGAAGTTCTTCACCAGAAAACTGGGCAGGTCTAGCCTTGCAAATGCCCCAATGTATTTGGAGTCATTTGTCTTTGAGTTGGCAACAGTTTAATGATGTCTTGATCCTTTTCAGAGGGTAAACCAGATATAAAGGATCATTCCCTCCTTCCTTCCTTGGGCCGAGGTGCCCCTTTGCCCGCTGAGTCTACGTGTGCTTATGGCTGGGAGTTAATCCAGCAGGCATTACTTAGCTCTACACCTCCAGGTCCCCTTTGGCCAGGGGCTGGGCGCTTTACTGAGACAGAGATAGGTCTAAACCTACACAGATATCTACAGAACAATAACCAGGTGCCTGACCCATAAAAACTAGTTTCTTGGGCAGTGGCCCTGGCATCTCTCCTTTTCTTCTCTCCATCATGGCCTACTGCATGGCTGCTCCTTTCTTATCTGCCCTCCAGGCACCTGCTGAAACTTTGGGAAGCAAGATCTACTCTAAATTCCCAAGTAGAGATTAAGGCGGGTGGGGCTTTAAACTTGTGAGCTGCAAAGGAGCTTACAAGTTTTCAGCTTACTGCTGTATTCGTCTGTTCTGGGACAAATACGTCACAATAGTCCATATGAAATACAACACCAGAACCACAATCAGCAATTGGGATGACTATGAGGCAGGGATCAAGTTTAGAGTACTATGAAATCCTAGTTCTGGGAAGAAAAGTGAACAATGAAATAATTTAAAATAAATCTTACTTGTTTGGGCAGAAGGCAGCTTTGACAAGGGCATAAATATGACCAGATTATCATGTAAATACAGACCTCAAAAGTTGACTTTCCTTCCCACACATCACTTAAAAATAGGACACATGCTCTCTTTTCCCAACCTGTTTTAGTGTTTGCATTAGGCTATTCCCCGTAAGTGCTTTATCCATTCCCAGTCTGTTTTGACTGTTTGCTGGAAGGAAAATCAGAAACCTTTTCATATAAAAACCATTGTAGTGAATAACCGGTTATGTTTTTCCCTTTGCGTTTTCCATCCAAAACATTTGGCATCTCCTTTATTTATGTGCCGGCAGCGACTCATCTGCTGAATACACAGCACTGTTCACCGACAGTCTTCTGTCCCCACAGTGTCTGCCAGCTCTTCCTCCTCTGAGTCATCCTCTTCTTCCTCCTCTTGTGCTGAAGAACTGGAGGTGGGCCCTTTGCAGGTTTTCAGGTGACGGGTGAGATGGTATTTGGTTAAATAAGCTTTTGTACATTTTTCACAGACATAATCCCGCTTTCCTTCATGTGAATTGAGATGTTTCTTTAAATGATTTGTTCTCAAGAACGGCTTGTCACACTTGGGACACTTGATCTGGCGTTCTCTAAGAGGAACACAAGAAAAACATTTGGTTGGATTACAAGTGACAACTGAGGCCCACACTTATCCTTCACCACCACAGGCCCTTGTCAGAGCAGCTCTGCCCGTCTAGAATCAGACATTCTATATGAGATGTAGCACACAGACAAGTCCTAAATCATCTGTATCGTTTAAACAGCATAGACTGACTTTGCCTATTTTGGCATCCTATGTAAATGTGATCACTCTGGATGTATCTTTTTTGTCTGCTTCTTGCACTCAATATGATATTTGTGAAATTCATTCAAGTGGCTGCAGGTATCAGTAGTCTGTTCCTTTACACTGCGGTAAACTACTTACAAATACACAACTTACCTTTTGTTAAAGTATTTTGGTGGTTCCAGTATTTATCATCACAGGCAAGATTGCTACCAACATTTCTATACCTGTATGTTGGCTTGCACATATACATACTCAGGAGCAGTGTAGCTGGATCAAAACATATGCACATCTTCAACTCTACTAGATGAAGCTAAACCGTTTTTACAATTTCGTTTTATCTACATACATGTCCATCAACAACCATTTCAGAGTTCCTGTGGCCTACATTCTCACCAACAAGTGGAGACTCAAATTTGAAAATGTTTAAATGTTTGCCAATTGGCCAGTCCTTAGCTGTATCTCAATATGGTGTCAATGGTAACCCCTACAACAAAAATTTACCCAGCTCAAAATGTCAGTGCCAAGGTTTGAGAGCTGAAAAGAACCATAGAGATTATACAGACCAGGAATTTTTAAACTTTTTTGAGCAGCGGAAAGCCCAGTATGTGAAACAGATAAAGGGGGTTACAATCCTTGAAGGAGCGGTAAGGTGCAGTGGGAGGCTCTGAAGCCTAGCCACTCTTAGCGTTTCTACTGCCTTCTCCCTCCCAGCAGGAGGATCTTGTGAAGCCACAGAATGTGGAAAACTAAGCCCTGGCCTTTATGGAGCTTACGTCCTAGTGGAGGAGTTACACCATAAACAAATAAAAATATATAGCATGATAGCAGGTAGTAATGAGTACTGTGAAAAAAATGAAGCCAGGTAAATGGAATCCTATTTTAGGTAAGACGGTCACGGAGGGCCATTCCTAGATGACATTTGATCAGAGACCTGAAGGAAGTGAGGGAGGAAGACGGGCAGAAGCAGGAAGGTCAGCTTCTGCTGAGGGCCCTCTTCCTGGCTTGTCCTCACAGAGTGGACAGAGTGAGCCCACTCTAGTCTCTCTTCCTCTTAGAAGGACACTAATTCGATCAATGGTGGGTCCCACCTCATGACCTCACATAAATCTCATTACCCAAGGAGCACCCAGGCTGTGGAGTAACTTACTGTGTGTGGATGAGCACATGCTGCTTGAGGTCCTGCCTCCGCATAAACAACTTGTCACAGTAATCACACTTGAGATTCTTCTCGCCCGTATGGATCACCATGTGCGACTCCAGGTGAGCCTTCTGGGTGAAAGACTTGTCACACAAAGTACACCTGTAGTTCTTCTGACCTGCACATTAACCCAAAGGATCACATTGTGACTGAAACCACCACCAGCCTCTCAAGATGAACAGACCCCGTGTGAGTGTGTGGCAGAGGCAGGAGTAAACAGAACTGTCTGGTAGTTGGAACTTCACTTTCTAGGGTCATCTTCCTAGAACCACCCAGAGCCACTGAATTTACATTCATCAACTAGTGCCAGTGAAGCTAATAAATCTGACCTCCATCTGGGACTGCTTAAATGTATACATATTTTTAATGTTTATAGCAGACATGCTATAAAATATGAAAAAAAAAATCACATCATCCTAGGTAAGCAGGAAGGTCAGCTTCTGCTGAGGGCCCTCTTCCTGGCTTGTCTACCCAGTCTATAGGTAAATATATTTTAACAACCTATATGTATAGTTCTCTCTCACTTTTTTTAAAAAATATATTTTATTGATTTTTTACAGAGAGGAAGGGAGAGGGATAGAGAGTTAGAAACATCGATGAGAGAGAAACATCGATCAGCTGCCTCCTGCACACCTCCTACTGGGGATGTGCCCACAACCAAGGTACATGCCCTTGACGGGAATCGAACCTGGGACCCTTCAGTCCACAGGCTGATGCTCTATCCTCTGAGCCAAACCAGCTAGGGCTCTCTTTTTTTAAACATATCATATGACTTCATAAACCAGGGATGGAATAAAATTCTTCTAAGAATGCAGAAATCAGATTACACTAGGTCAGGGGTTGGCAAACCTTTCTCAAACTAGTCAGTATTTTAAGTCTTGTGGGCTATGCAGTCTCTGTGACTACGCAGTCTTTTTTTTTTTTTTTTTAATATATTTTATTGATTTTTTACAGAGAGGAAGGGAGAGAGATAGAGAGTTAGAAACATCGATGAGAGAGAAACATCGATCAGACGCCTCCTGCACATCTCCCACTGGGGATGTGCCCGCAACCCAGGTACATGCCCTTGACCGGAATTGAACCTGGGACCCTTCAGTCTGCAGGCCGACGCTCTATCCACTGAGCCAAACTGGTTTCGGCAACTACGCAGTCTTAATGCAAAAAGATGAGGAAGAATTTTACGGTCAAAGATTTGGAGAACAAATGACCCAGCCAAAAAAAATGAAAACCTCATCAGTTATTTTATAGTATGTATGAAAAATGTTAAGTGTTCAATGAAAGCAGTTGGTTTGCATGGAGTTTAGAAAATAGAAACTCAAAAAACAAAGTTTTAACAATGTTTACTGAGCAATATTCAAAGGAGAAACGCTGGCTCCGGCTAGTGACCCAGACTGAGCTCTAAGAGGCTCAGGCTATTTTCACAGAATTTCTTTTACTTTAAGTTCAAACAAATGAATCAACTTTCTGATTATTAACTGCATTTTCCCAGTCTGGGCGCCTAGAAAGTGGAGCATCTTAACTGCTGGAAGAAACTCCCTCTGAGGAATGAGTTTGCCACAAAGATTTACCATCCAATGAAGTCCTGCTGCCTGCCAGCGGGATTCCTTCTCTAACACCTTACCTCAACTCTACCTGCAAGACTACCTCCCTGCAAAGCCTTTAGTACTGCAATTTCTAACTGTTGCAAAATTCCACACTGGTGGTCCAACACAACTTACCTGTATGTATCTTGAGGTGGGTCCGCAGGTTGCTGGGATCACTAAAAGCCTTGCTACAGAAATCACACTTGTGGGGCTTCATACCTATGTGACCCATAAAGTGGACATGAAGTTTGGAAGGAGAGATAAAAGCTTGGGGGCACATTGAGCACTTCCACTTCCTTTCTTTGCTGTGGCCGGGCCTGTGGCTGCTGCTGTGGCCCTGGCCAGGAAGATGGCTATGGATGTGGCTGGTCAGGTGGGCTTTGAATTCTGTATAGGAATTGCACTCCTTGCCACAGTTACAGAGGTGCACATCTGGATGTTCAGGAACACCTTGAAAAAAAATTAATATCTCCTGATACTTCCATTTTAAAGCGTATTCTTGATATTAATAATTTTTGCTTACAATTTTTCCCTTTTACCCAAATGTCCATCTTGCTACTACCTATAAAAGTAAAATGTCTTATTCAATGCTCTATTCCCAGCCTCTCAAACAGTGCCAGAAACACAGGAAGCACTTAATAAATACTGCACTATAAGGTATATTTCCTAGGGAAAAAAAGTAAGATTCTGTAGCACACACAAACTCAGACATCACTTGTCATCATGTATCATCATGACACAGTGCAAAGAAAAGCCCAGGAAGGCTAAATCACTCAAGGAGTTCTGCCGTCCTTTATGAACTTCAGTTGCAATGGTACTGGCTCAATTTTCAGCCTGGGGAACTTCAAATTCCCCAAATCAAAGTGCTAACACAGAAGTTCATTTCATATGAACACTGCTGGTCAATAACACTCAGTTTGTGAAGAACCTCAGAGAGTTTAACCTTTTAACAGAGAGGTAATAGTCTGCTTTTATATACACAAAGGTTAGCTGATGTGTTTCAGCGGATATTTAAACCTTTACTTTTGGTCCTTGGTGTTCTTACGACGCTAGATTCATAACAAACAAGTCGTACATTAACTTACCAATCTGCTGAGCATAATCCCGGCTGTAATAAAAGAGCAGTTCGTTTTCAGGAGGAATATCTTGTGAAGTGTAGAAATAAATTTTTCCATCATGGGGATAAGCCACCAAATTCTGCTCTTCCCGGTTCCTAAATTACATTTAATAGATCAAGCATATTATTTTTGAAATATGTACTAAACACATCATATCCCTAGAGCAAAATCTTCTATGAAAACTTAGATATAATTTTTCTGGGTCACTTTTCTAATTCCCTATCCTATCTAGTGTGAGGGATGTGTGCAGAAACAGAATTCTTACTTCAGTACATCAGTTTATTGCCCTTTACAGTTAGAAACACTACAGTCTGTTACTGAAAGCAAATAAATTAATCTTTACATAAACAATATGACAAAGACACAGAGATAGATAGCTGAACAAGAATTAACCACAACTAACAGTCAATATACAGAGAAGGTACCCACTGGAAAATCTAATGGTAACAGTATCATTCCTTATTGCACTGGTAACTTGAGTAAACTGTTCATTAAAAGGATAGTTTGTGTTTTCAATTTATAATTACCACTAGTCAACAACTTCTGGAGCGAAGAAGGGGAAAGCCTTAGCCTTAAAGTATGTGCAGACATCAGTGTAATTTGCATTTTCCAGCTCCGCATTTTACACAAAGCTTCCTATTGAAAACCATCTGAATCATAATTCCTCTCACCCAAAACTACTCTTACCTGGCTTTGCGCACAAACATCATCCAATTACATTCATTTTCGTCAGTTGTAACAATGCAAAATTCTAGGACACCGTTGTGGTATATCTGCCAAGAGAAGACAAATATACACGTCAAATGAACTGACAAACGATACAAAATGCTACTGAATTAAGGCCATCTCACTTAGTTTGCAGCTTTCCCAGTCTATGTGAAAAATACATAGTTGCCTTCTCACATGCCTGTCATTTCACCAGTCCCCCTATTTCTAGCAACCAAATAAAGACCATCAGAGACCTACAGTTGGTGTTCAGTGTACAGAATGGCAGTGTTCTTGATTATTCACATTTTGGCTTGACTGGAAAAGATACACACACAAAAATCAGACAGTCTACTTGTTTTCATCACCTGCCACATGGCACAGAACAGCTGAATGGACATTAAGGTCAGAGAACCATCTCTTCTCATTCTTCTCCAATGGACCTAGCATTCTTCTATGTTCCCTTTTGGATACCAAAATTAAAGTCCCCAATGCCAGTGGTACCTTACTTTCCAACTGTCCCAGGACTCACTTTCCCCTCACTTCAATTTTACAGCATCATTTCCAATCAACTAGGATTCAATATAAACTGTTACAGGATATGTTGTTAAAACCTGTGCTTTCAGTCCTCCCTTTGGAAAACTAGAGAAGCAACCTTACCTTCTAATTCTAGAACCGTTTCCCAGGCTAAATATTTGAGGAGTGTTTTAGTTTATTATAAAGTAAGACTTTCATCATATAAACAAAGCTCATAGCCTCAGCTGTCACAAGTAATTTAAAAGGAGAATCATTTGATTATCTAACAAAATGGAGACTAAAACAGTTTACCGTCTATATTCAATAGCTGGTGTTTTGCTATGTAATATACAGAACTTGGCTACCAAGAACAGAAAGGATGGAATCTACACTAATAAAAGAGAAACATGGTAATTAGCGTACGACCGCTACCCTTCCCTGGGGATTATCAGCAATCCTTATACTTAACTGCCAGTCAAGATGGCGGCTAATTTGCATACTGCAGGCAGGATGGGACAGCGCTATTCTGCCT